TCTCTGTGAGGTGCCAGGGGATGAGCTCTGATATCTCTGAGTCCGCCAACACTTTTCTCAGCTGCAGGAAAGACGCATTCCCTCGATCAGGAGCCACTGTCTTCTGATGTTTCGAACTTGCTGTCGCGATTGCGAGTCCAGCTCCTGGGCCTTTCCCCTCCAAGTTATCATTGTCCAGATAAACGCCCCGGGGTGCTTCCCTGAGCCCGCCCCCACCCCCAGCAACCCCAGCCCAGCCCAGCCCAGCCCCGCCATTGATTTGTTTCCTACCTTGTGCTTCTTGAGTGTCTGTCTGTTCTACCTTTATTTTGAATGAAGCTGTCTGTTCGGGCCTCCTGCCGACCTCGCTCATCGGGGATTGTTTCTCTTTTGGAGGTTCAGTTGTCTGACGCCTTGATCAGTTTTGGACGGAAAATCCCCTTTGGCCATATGCTTGCGCTTTCCTGGTATGCGCGCACGCACACACGCACACACACACACACGGATGTGTGTTTCTGCCTGTGTACGTACGTGTAGGTCTGTGTGTGTGTATATGTACATATACACATATATATGTACATATCTACGCCTATATGTATATACACACGCGCGCGCGGAGACATCTACACAGACACATGCGTATGTATGCACATAGGTACACGTACACTGACCAATACGTACGTGTATGTATACATACGCGCGCACACACATGCACACGCGCGTATGCACATGCGCGTGTGTGTGCGCATCCATGCACATCAATCTGTGTATATGCACTGTATACACACACTTGCAACTGTACATACGTACATGCGTATATATACACATATACAGCCGTACGTCTGTGTGGACGTATATACGCTATATGTAGACGTCTAGGCGTGCGTACATATGTATGTATACGCGTGTACGTACACGTGTGCATATACACAGGCGGATATGTGTGCATATGTAAGCATGCACGTCCGTGTCCGCATATACGCGCACACACACCTGTGCGTATACACCACACGTACACACACGTGTGCATCTATATGCGTTTACACGCCCGTGTTTGTTTAAATGTAGGTATGTATATCTACGTATAGGCACATATGAGCATGTGCATTCATGCGCGTGCATATCCGTGTACGTGTGTGTATAGATAGATGCCTGTGCATGCGTATATACACGCAAGCAACCATGCACACTATAAACGCCTAGGCATATACGTGCACACACAGACACATGCGCGTACGTGAGCATGCATGCCCTTCGTACGGACTTGTTTAGACGCATGTGTGCACGTATATATAGATGCCAATATGTGTCCGTATACATACGTACATGCGTATATGCACATGTGCGCTCTCTCTCTCTCTCTCTCTTTCTCTGTCTCTGCCTCTGTCTCTCTCTGTCTCTCTCTCTCTCTCTCCCCCTCCCTCCCTCCCTCCCTCTGACTTTTAAGCTGCCAGAGCAGTTCTATGACTTGACTTTCCTGCCTGGTGGTTTTGTTTCATTTCGTTTAGGTGCTACTTCAGAAAGTTATGTCTTCATTGACTTGGCTGTTGTCATGGAATCCGGGGTTTATTTAGTGGATCCCTATTGACTCGGTCCTCCCCACCGCGCCCCTCCCTCAACCCCACCCCCCGCAGCCCTGCCACCCGAGACCGCCCGGCCGCCCGCCTTTCCGGTGTTTGTGGCCAGTGATCTTGAAATCCATGTTCTCCTGACCTCAAGTGCACTTTCCCCACCCACCCGCGCATGCTTGTGTTTGTTGTCTTTGGACTTGGTCACGGTCTCTACCCAGGTTGAGTTTTGTTTCCTCTTGTTGGGGGTCCGAGTGTCTCCTTCGTTTCCTTTCTTGCTCCTGGGCTTGCGTGTCTGTGTCTGTGTCTGTGTCTGCTTTCGAAAGTCCTGCTTTGTTCTCCGAGCAGCGCTTGCCTGGTTTCGCTTTGCCGGTCGGTCCCTCTCTCCCTCCCTCCCTCCCTCCCTCCCTCCCTCCTTCCTCCCCTCCCTCCCTCTTTTGGGGGGAGGGGGTCCGGGGGAGCCCGGGATGTCACTGCTGCCCCTCTCTCGGCCCCCAGGCCCCCGCCGCCGGCGTCTCCGTGGAACGTCCCCCCACCACCCTGGAATCGCGCGTGTGTGTGTGTGTGGGGGGGGGGGGGGGAGCGCGTCTCCTTCGGGGCAGCCTCCTGAGGAGATAGTTCCCAGCTCCTCTCCCTTCCTCTGCGGCCGGGGTCGCGTCGCGTCGTGTGGCTCGGAGGCGGAGGAGGCTCCGGGCCGAGCTCGGGCGTTTGGGAGGCCGGCGCGGTGGCGTCCTCGGCGCCCGGCGACAGCGACCCGTCCTCGGGACGGTCGAGCCGTTTGTCAGGAGCCACCTGGCGGCCGCTTCTATATTGTCCCTCCCCCTCCGGAGCTTCGGCGAGGCCTTCAGGAGGATTGTGACTCAGCCACCGGGCCCGAGGCAGAGCTCTCAGAGACCGGCTACGCTGGCGGTGACAGTCCCGGGGACACCGAGGCCTGGGGACGTCCTGCTGTCTGCGGAGATTGGTTCTCTAGGCTTCTGGGGAGGGTGACTGTCGCGGCGCTCCAGATCGGGGCTCTGGGGCGGCCTGGCCGGGTCGACCAGCATCTCCCCGTGCCCCTCCGGCCGTGGAGACGGACCGGCCGGACCCTACCTGGGCCGGCCCGCCGCGGTGGGCAGGGAGAGGGTCTTCCCTGCCCGGAGCGCCTGGACTCGGACTCGGCGGTCCGGCCTCCTCCCGGGTCGCCCTCAGGAGCGTGTGCTTCGCCCTCGGCCCCGCTCCGGAGGTGGGGACCGGCCCGGACTGTGGCGTGGAGGTCGGCGGAGGGCGCGGCTGGGTCCGGGCCCTCGGGTTCTCTCTGACAGAGGTGTTTTCCGCGTCGCACTCCCCAGGTGGGGACCCGCCCGCCGGAGTCGTGAGGGCTGACCCGGAGAGGACGGCCGGCGCGGGCGCGTGTGCGGTCCCCCGGTGGGGTCCTGTCGCCTGAGGCGTCTCCCGGCACGCATGCCTTTTCTTTCTCAAAGTCCCGATAGGTCCGGAGACGTGGATGGACCGGGCCCTGCTCCCGCGGGTGGCCGGGGAGGGCGCGCTCGACCATACAGCGTGCCCTCGTGGGTCTCGGTCGTCGGACGCGACTTTTTCTCACCCCTCCCCAACCTCCCTGAATCCCGGTCAGTCAGGAGGTGGGTGGGGACCGGCTCGAGCCGTCCTGGGTGCCCCGTGTAGGACGGTCTGGGCCCCGGGCGTGGTCCCTGGTCGGGGCCCGCTCGTCTTGTTGGAGGCGCCTCGCTGACGTTGCTTTCTTCTTTTTTTCTTTATGCACATCGAAGCCAAGTCCCCGTTCGGAGACTCGGACGGACCGGTCCGCCTACGCGTGTGGGCGAAGCGGGGAGGGCGTCTCCGGCCAGCTCCCTCTCCCTTGGCGTCCGCGTCCCCACTTTTGCCACCACGCGGCCCCCTCCCTCCCCCCTCCCCTCCCCCCCCCCCAAGTCGACCAGATGGCCCCCGATAGCTCCAGGCCTGGTGTTCGTGGGGTAGTGCTGGGAACAGGTGGCCGGGTCAAGGTTCCGGGGTCCCTCCCTGCGAGTCGTAGATGGGCCCTGCTGTCGGCTGCTGTCATTGTGTCGCCCGAAATAGGTCTTTTTTGCCACCAGGTAAGTGCTGACACGGTCTGCTTTGGTGTCTGCCGCCGAGAACTTTGGGTCTCTGGATGCACGCGGGGCTCTGGGCCTTTGGGCCGCCAGCCGGCGCCTGATTTGGCCTCTGCCGCTGGAGCCGCCCGCCTGGGCCCTGTGCGCCGGCTCCCGTGTGGTGTGTCTGGCCGACCCGGCTCGTGGTGCCACCTCTGGTCCCAGGGCGGCCCGAGGGCGGTGGGGCGAGGCGGTGTGGGTCTTTGATTTGATTGATGACTCTGCGCTCCCCGCTGCGGGCAGCCGGTGGTGGCTGGGACGACCCCCGCCCTGTAGGCTCCGTGCCACGTGTCAGGCGTTCTCCTCCTGGGGTCGTCGGTCGCCCTCGCCTGAGGTGTGGGGTTGTTGGTGGCGGGGAGGGGGAAGGTTGCCGGAGGTTGCCGGTTGCCAGTGAGGCTTAAAGCGGGCCCTTCTGGTGGCTGTCCTCGCCTGTGCCCTCTCCCCACCCCCACCCCCCCACCTTGGCTCAACTGATTGATGTGGTGTGGTCGTGCTCTCCCGGGCCGGGCCTAAGCCGTGCCGGACGAGGGACGGGCGTTCCCAGTGAACGTGTCCGCTCTTCTCGGTCTGTCCGCGGTGCCCCTCGCCTGTCTTTCCCCCCTTGCCCCTTGGGGAGGGTGAGGAAGGCAGGGGGTGTTGGGGTGAGGCCTCCGGCCCTGACCTTCGGTCTCCCGTCCCCCGCCTTGGGGTGTCTGGTGGGGCCGTTGGTCTTCAGACACAGCAGATGCGCTTGCTTTCGCCTTCCTGGCGTGTTGCCCCGCGAGCGGCCCTCCCCGCGGTGGGGAGGGCTGTGCCGCTGCCACGCCACACGCCCCCGCACGGGTGTGTGAGCGTGCCTTGCTGGACCCTCGGTGGTGCCCCTGGAGTGCTCCAGGTCGTCCCTCAGGTGCCCGAGGCCGAGCGGTGGTGCCGTTTTCCCTTAACCCTGTGTCCTCCTCGGGTCCCCACCACGGTGGTGTGCGTGTGTCCCATGAGTGGCTCTCTCTGGGTGGGAGCGGGTCGAGGCGGTGAGAGAAGCGTTGTGTGCTCCCCTCGTCGCGGAGGCTGACGGATGAGGCCTTGCAGGGGGCGGGGCGCGGGCTCTGCCCCGGCCCTGGCCGCGCACGCGCTCCTGTGCGTGGTCATCTGCTTACCTGTACCGCAGACCCCTCCCGCCCAGTTGAGGACTGGCGGCTCCCGGTGTGCCTCTGTGGGGCCCGAAGGAGAGACGACCGGGTGAGGGACGGCGCGCCCTCGGTGAGAAAGCCTTCTCTAGCGATCTGAGAGGGAGCCTTGGGGTACCGGACCCCCCAGACGCTGCCCCTCCCGAGTGCGCAGTGGCCAC